AACGGAAAGATAAACCAGGTCTGAAGTCTGATTTCATATCCAGCCTGTTTGCCTCCCTGAGAGATGTCTTTTCTGTCTTTAGATCAAATTTTCTGCCTTCTACCTATGTTCTATTTGGTGTCTGGAGATTGTTTTTTGTGCTATACTCTGAAAAAAATCTAATTCATATCTGACCGGCTGAGGCCTTGAGCTGAAATCCTGACTCATAAAACCACAAGAGGGGAGAAAAATTAAATTTCATGAGTGAGCAGACAGAGCCTCAGAATACCTGAAAGCACTTCTACATGCTCAGCAGAGAGCTTTATTTCCTGTTTGTCAAAAAGTGAGTGAACCTGCGCTGCTACCACCAAGTCTTTAGCGACTTCATTTTCACTCCAGAGTGACATTTTGTGAAGACACACCTGGTGGTTAAGCTCTTAAGAAAGTCTGAAAGTGAACTTCTGAGTGTGGATTATTATGATTCACATGCTGTTCCCAAAGTTTAACACGAGTCTGAAAATGCAAAATTAAAATCTGGTTTTAGTTTCACAAAAACAACAAACAAAATATTTCAGACAGGTCAGCCTGTTCCCATTTTCAGAGCATAACAAAAATTGGGCTTAGTCAAAGCTGTTGGTGTTTCTGTGTTGTTTTATTTACTGGTTGGCTGTGATGCACTGGGTTATCCTATTAGTGAGACTCTGTTGTCACTTCCAACTTGTCGTTTTCTAACCAGCAGGGTTTCTGCGGTGGGGTTCTGCATTTACACTTTACAATTTAATACTTTTAGTTCCTAAACCCAACCAGCAGGTAAATGTAGGTGAAAAACACAAATGTAGTGCCAAAGCTGGTACATCAGACAGCAGTGACAAAAGATACTCAGTGTAACAAAGGGTACCACGTGATGCTACGAGGTGAAAACATGTTAGACAGCTCTGTAATGGTGCAGTTCAAAATCAAAGATCTTAGGCTGAAGAAAGTGATATAATATAATCAGTCTTATTGAGTGACTGTTTGCACAGTTTACTGTGAAACAAGCCATATCATGAGAATATTTCCTTGAGATAACATCAGGAGTTCGTTCCTCAGCCCTGAAATCCAAAATTTGATCTTTGTCAGGTCAACAAAAGGTAGAGTCTCACTTTATCATGCTACATAAACTGTTAACTAGGGCATCGTCACTGATTCAATTCCGATTCACGAGGTCTCCAATAGATTCGGTTCAATTCAATTTTGACTCAGACAGTCAGAAATATTAGAACTGTGATCATTAATCAGTACATATCCATATTTTTATATCTATGTATAAAAAACAACGCTGACACTTGTGAGACTTTAGAGGTGTAAGCATCGCAGCAGATGCCTTTGTGTTAAAGTCACTGAGGATAAAACACAGAAAATCATGAAGGAGATTTTCCTGGCCTGGCTTTTTATAGCAGATCACTGCCTTAAAAATATTCTGCGGTAGATCAAAAATGGAAGAAAACCATGAATAAACATGGTTGACGAACATTACCTGATGCTGCTGAAGTGAAGCAGAGTAATGTTACAGAGGTTTTATTAGACAAACAGCAAAGCGTTTTGCAATTTGGCAGAATTTGTAAAAGTTTAGATTTTTTCCGTATTGAACTGCAGAAGTTAGGCTTTCTTGTTGGAGGTCATTTTTGAAAAAGAAAAAAAAAAACAGCGACCGACTGTGCTATACACAACAGTAAGCTGGTGCGTAATAAGCAAGCAAATAATGTAGAAAACAGAGATTTCTGACGGTAAACTGGTCTCTGAGTGCACTGAGAGAGAGAAAGAGCTGTGCAAGGAGTGTGATTTTATCGTAGTGGAAGCAAAACAGCCAAAGTAAGAGGGAATTCATGACAATGTTTATGAAATGTGAAGCATAGTTTTGATCTTCTTTTGCTGATGGTTCAGGAAATTTTGATTGGAGAATGACAAAACCTGCAGCTTCAGAATCTGTGAGATATCGGCTTTCAGCACTAACAGCGTGTCCATGTACGTGCCGTCGGGTCGCACTTTGTGTGTACATCTTTGCGCAGAATCCGTTTACCTGCTTTTTAATCGTTTGGTATTTTAACTCTTTGGTGGTTGTTGAAATACTTTTGTGAGCTTTAACCTGAGATTCTGGCATTTCTGGCAAAATACATTTATATTTAAATGAATTTAGATGTAGATTTAATGAATCAATATTGTGTTATTCAAACTAAAATCGATTTGAACCGGAAAATCTATTTTTTAAAACCCTTCTTATTCTGAACTGTATTTCTGTTGCAATTTTGGAAAACTGGGAACAATTTGTGAAATGTTTCGGCGGTTTTCAACATGTTGCTTGTAACTTTCGTAAACAGCGGTACTGAAGTGACTTGTTGAGGATATGCTGAATTGTTCTGTTGTAGGTTTTCCGCTGCTGCTGTTTGTGAAACGGTGTTTGAAACAGATCTAATATTGTTGGCAGTGGCGGTCCTGTTTGGCGCCCCGGGCGAACACTCCCTCTTACCCCCCCCACACACACACACACACACACAAAACATATTAAGGATTGTACATTAACATGAAACATGAAACTGTTGTCGAAATTCACTAGAGAAACACTCACACACATGAAGAGAGAGAGAGTATGCATTGTATGCAAACGGCTACCAAACAGCCATCATAATTCGTCATACAATGAGAACAGGACAAATCAACTACTGGCAATGACTAATTAATATTGAACTCTGTAACATAATGTATTGTTTGGAGTTTAATCTGTTACTGTTAGTATTTATACCATTTCTTCTTGGAGCAACTGTAATCCACATTATTTCCTTAGGGATTAATAAAGTATTCTGATTCTGATTGTTTCAGGATGACCTGCCATTATCCAACGACACATCTGCTTACCTGCATCTTTTGCTCGTTTCTCCTCCTCTTCTTTTCTATTTTTTCTAAACTGAGCACCTGATGGCTTTGAACTTTTTTTATTTTAATTTTTTTAAATTTTGAACTCCAGTATGAACACAAGTCCCCCAACCCGAGGATCACCACAACATAACCTAACAGACCTACACCTTAGTTCACAGATTCACTTTGTCTAAGGTGTATTTCTGGGATTTCACACAACCCAGGATTCAGATCATGAATACATGATGGGCTTGGATTTACATCATTATGGATGAAAACATCATGAATGAAATGTGCTCTATTTGGAGGCAGCAGGTCTCCTTCCACTTTCCACAGGTTGTGCGTGAGACATTAAATCATCAAAATATAAAATATAAATTTTAAATTGTTATTGATCCCTTTACCCCGAGTCCTAAAGTGTATATTTATTTTCTTACTCTTCTTATATATATATTGTTTGTTTACTTGCACTGCTGAAACTGGAGTCTCGTCCTCTAGTCTCTCTCTATAGTGTACTGCATGCAGCCAAGATGACAATAAAGTTTACTTTGACTTCAGCAGCGAGCGGGCGCACCGAGGGCTCTCGCGCTCATTTTTCGCGTATAGAATTCCGGAAAAACATCAGTGCAAATTATAAGTCCCCCTCCGCCCCGCCCTCTCCTCCCTGTGCCGCAAGCAGCAGGCGCACCTCGCCCTTACTCCCAGCAAATGGGCAATAGAAAACCTACCGGTGCCTATGACATTCCCAATATGTGCTGGCTGATGTCGGGGCAGCATGAGTACGAGCAATTTTTTTTTTTTTTTTTTTTTTTTTTGCCGATGCCTGTGATGCCGCCCCCCACCACGATGCTGCCCCGGGCAACCGCCCGTGTCGCCCGTATCAAAAACCGCTACTGATTGTTGGACTTGGATACGTATAATATGTGAATGTAACCAAATTATTTATCAGTGATTTCAAACTGTAAAAACAAAAACAAATGATGTTATGCAACATGAGAAAGCTGCTACGCTCAAATTCAAATATTCCTCATCCACGCTGGACTGATCCTCCCACCCCAGCACTACTGTATTAACAATGCCTTCAAGGCTTGTTTTATTTTTACTATTCTTTTTTGTTAATTTTATTTGATTCAATTAAGTATCTTTTTTCATGTATGTAACTTATCTGTTTATTGAATTATCCATGTCTGTGGTTTTATTTGATGTCTGTTCCCTTTAAGTTTTTATTTCTTTGCTGAACGGTCCAAGAGACTGAAGACGTCACTTGGATGAGTGTCGACATGTTTCTCCCACTGAAAACATTATGTGCTGATGAACAAAATCAGCTTTCTTGGTTTTCCTTACCTGGATGATTGTGCATGCATCAAGACACTTTGTTGCAGGGTGCTGAATTAAAATTTGCCCCGATAGCACTTGAACACCTACAAGTTCTCTTCTGCTCCACGTTTGACATAGTACATATGTGCTCTATAGCACCATACATAAAACACAGTTAACAGCAACATTCGCCCTCAAGATGGCAGGGCAACAAGGCAGCCTCCAGAAACAAGCACACATTCCTATGTTTGTTATTAATTAAGGATTAATTCAAAGACATTTTTGTTAGATTCTATAATTACATAAAATTATGTATATTTATGAGTGCAAAATCCATATTTCTATTAAATAACCTAAAAAATGGCCAACCTTTAATTTCAGTTTATCCCACTGACCACCAGCAGCATCATTGTGCTTTTAAGCTTTACCTGTGGTTGTGATCCTGATCCAGCACCCACCCAACAGGCAAATCTAACTGAGGACAGGTTAATGATCTTGTTTTCACCTGCCTACACTGGCTGCTTCCTCTGCTAGCCATGGCATGTCATGCTTGTGATCTATGCGTGATCTGTCCCGTACCCAGCGATTGTCTTTGATGTTGCTCACCCATCTGTGGAAAGGCCAGGAGGTACCAGACGAGAGCCATACTGGCAAATTACTGCAAATTAAACGGCAGTTTTCTCTGACTTCAGTAGTCATGATGAAATTAATGAAAAATACAAATGTTTTTTGTAACTTTCTAACAAAGGTATAGTGTGGCTGGCACATTAATACCTGTTCATAAATGAAGTAAAAGTCAAGTTTACACTCACCATGTTCCACTTTGGGAAGAGAAAGTCAGTGCCGACGTACTCGAAGAAATGAGCAAAACCTTCTTTTAGCCAAACATCCTCCCACCACACTGGAGTCACCAGATCACCGAACCACTGAAAGACAGAGACAAAATCATTTCATATGCTTTCATGTCTTAAAGAGTTATTTCTTATGAAACTGTTTTATGAAACCCATTCTTATATTCAAACCATAAACTGTGTACAACTAATGGATGAAGCATCACTCGTTAGCTTTCAGAGCACTGTGTTTAAAGCTTAAGCTTAGCAATGTGAGAGTTACCCTCTAGGTTTATTAGAGCCTCCCTCAATTCGCTACTTTGAAACAGAAACAGATCTTCTTTGCTTAATTTGTCACAATCTATGGAGAGAATAGGCCTCGCCTGGCCATGAAACGGCCATCAACTGTCCAGTGGCATTTGAGCCTCTAAAAATAAAGAGCCACGTATTAAAATAGATGTAGTTAATGCCATACTTATGTCAATATCATTTAAAAGGGTGAGTTAAATAAAAATTCACCCTCTGTAGAGTTTTGATTAAGGGATAAAGCAGTTAAATAGACCAATGCTGTTTTTTGTACCTGGATGTAAACATGTTTATTTTCGCAGCCAGCCTCGACTGCCCAATTGAGAATTACAATTTTTTTTTTTACAATTTGGGCAGCACGGTGGCACGGTGGTTAGCACTGTTGCCGCACAGCAAGAAGGTCCTGAGTTCAATTCCACCATCAGGCCGGGGTCTTTCTGTGTGGAGTTTGCATGTTCTCCCCGTGTTTGCGTGGGTTCTCTCCGGGTACTCTGGCTTCCTCCCACCGTCCAAAGACATGCAGCTTGTGGGGATAGGTTAATTGGATAATCCAAATTGCCACTAGGTGTGAATGTGCGAGTGAATGTGAGTGTGAATGGCTGTCTGTCCCTGTGTGTTGGCCCTGCGACAGACTGGCGACCTGTCCAGGGTGTACCCTGCCTTTCGCCCTATGACAGCTGGGATAGGCTCCAGCGCCCCCCGCGACACTGAAAAGGATAAGCGGAAGCGAATGGATGGATGGATGGCATTTGCATGAGCTTCATTTTTCAGTTCCAGATGCTGCAGCTTGATGTACACATGTCCTCTACTCGAATATGAAAGTTTAGTCATGTTTGCATGAAATTGCTACTTATGTGGTATGAAGCAATTTATTACTAATGTCCATCATTTTATCTCTTAAAGCTGGTCGTTTTACTTTTAGAGTGAAGTTCAAAATTGCTGAAATTATGCAAAAACAGATTGTGTTTCATTGAGTTGTGTGCATGAAAATTGCCACAAATAATCCACTCTGAGTTCCACAGTCACACCGTGAAGTAGGTGTGAATTTGTGTGTTTCAGAAAGTTACTAAGAGATATGTATCATACATTTAGATACAGCCAATTAATCTTCAACTTATCCAATATTTGTTAAGATATTTATGTAAAAATCAAAAACCTAATGCTGATGCCACAGTCACAGAATTTTCATAGTGGTTTTAGTCCAATATGTCCAAGATTAGTTTATTACCAGCTCTTCAACCACTCCTGTAGAATGAATAAAATTTCATATTCCATCTTTAGAACATACAAAACTGTTTTTGTTGTGCATAGGAAAGAAAATCCAATTAAATCCAGACAAATTCTGAGCAGGGAGAGTACGGCCTTCCAAGTCCTGCCCCTCCTGAAGGACTGACTTGGCTTCCTCGCCTGCTCTGAGCTGATGTGATGAGGCAGGTTCACTCATCAACAACACCATAGGGCAACCAACAACGTTGCTCCAAAGTGTGACAAAGGAAGGGGAGGCTTTGGCTCTCATTCAGCTGGCATGCTACCACCTGATTGGACTGTTAGCCTTTTCTCAAGCTGCCTCAGAGCCTCGTCAGAGTAAACCAGCAGTGAAGTCTAATAAAGGCAGAGCACGTAAGAAAATAGAGTGAACTTTGCTGATAGCGAAACGCGCAGCCACAGGAGTAATTTATTGGATCCAAGCGGTTTCCTGGCGATGCAGTTTGAATGAAAACGGTGGGGAACAAACAGGCGTCTCTACCAGCTTTGTTTCTGAGTCTGAGCGTTCCCTTTAAATCTTCAGACGCACAAAGAAAAAAAGTTTACCTCAAATTTCCTTTAAACCCTGATTAAAGTTCCATCTGTAGAAACAGCACACACTGCAGTTTTGATACATCAGCACAGTGAGTGTGAGACTGTACGTTTGGCAGCATGTCTGCAGTAAATTGTCCTTCAACTGATCAAAGTTTGTGTGGTCAAGCAGAGAAGTACCTAGACTATGCATATGTGTGTGTGTGTGTGTGTGTGTGTGTGTGTGTGTGTGTGTGTGTGTGTGTGTGTGTGTGTGTGTGTGTGTGTGTTCAGTGTTTTTGGGTAAATCTGCAAGCAGCTGAAAAAAGTCAGACTTAATTATGCAGTGTGGTGTTATAAGTCTTTCCATATAAATCAAAAAGGGCACAAAAGCTAATCCCCCGACCAACAACAACAGAACTGCCTTTCATGCAATTAGTTACTGGAGCTTTCAACAGATGCTGTCACCCTGCAGAGCGAGAGCTCAGTGCATCAGAAATTAATGACCAGGGTTTTTTATTTGTTTCAGAAGTGAAGGAGGAACATTGAGCATCCGCCTTCACCAAAAAACAGAGGCTGGCCCTCTTTATGTGGCAGCGGGGGCGAGGAAACCTACTTCAGTCGAGTGCGGCATATGAGGCAGATAATCAAACGCTCCCAGGTGGTGGAGATGCTGCAGCTCTTTTTGAAGACATCTTGTAAAATTGTCAAAGCAGAAATTACTAAATATAATGAAGGGCAGGATTGAAACCAAGTTAATCATTGGGGCTGAAAGGACAAAAACATCTGCACACTGCAATGCTGACTCAGGCGTTTTGTGACTCTTGCTGGTCGATGATTTACATCTGTGTTCTTTTCTTGCCTTTATTGTTAATCATGAGTCTCTGCTGCTTTCTATCTCATTTAGTATTGTCTACTAGTGCGTAGAGCAGTTAAAATGCCATTTTATGGCTTCTTTCCATAGATTCTAACAACAGAACAGATGCAGCTTCTGGGTCTGAAAAGCAAACATGCTCAGAAATGGCTTAAACCTGCGTTCTTTCTAATGGCCTGCAGAGGGCGACTCCTGCAGCTGCGTAAAGACTTTCCGTTGAAGAAGTCGATGGGCACACAGGTCTAGCCTCCCATACTCTCTGATCTCAGAGAATAATTTCCTTTTGAGATCATGGGCTCAAGTTTCAAAGTGTACTAAAAACATGTCAAAGTTTCAAATGATGTAAAACAACACTAATGTTAGTGACAGTTCAGTAATTAGAATCAAATGAGGTTCTATATGTGTCGACTGTGCTCCCAGTACAATGTCCTAAACGTCTATAAATACATACAGATTTATAGGAATTGATATTTCCTCCTTAACTTCACTAGACTAGCAGCCTGGTCAGTAGTGATGGGGGCTGTTATTGGTCGGGTTTGATTAGCAATTAGCCCCTTCTTATAGATTTCTTCTTTGTTTGGCATACCGGAATTGAAAACTTATGACAGAAGATCAGCAAGACCAAAATGCATGTTTTAGACTAAATTGGAAAGGCTTTTCTAGTTGTTATTTTAATGTGCTTGTTGAGGATGTGGGTGTAACACAGCCAAACCTTACTCCTATATCATATTAAACAGAGCAGGGTAGACTCAGGAAAGGCTGAATTAACTGATCCAATTAGCCTAACAAGGAAATCTTGCTGGGGGAGATAACAGGAACACCTGGAGCAAACCCACACAAGGATGGGGAGAACAGGCCACAAGTCCACAAATAAAGGCTGAAGCCAACCAGGAACCCCCCTGTAATATTGTTAACCACAGCAACCTAATCTTAGCTGGTTTAAAATACAGCTGCTTTACTTTGAGTGGTTACAACTGAAAAATAGAATTAATTTTGAAAGTGTTGTTGACATTTGTAGATATTTATATTTAGCAGTATGTCCCACATGGCAGGGAAAGCACATGATGTATAAAAACGGTGGGGACAGGGTGCACGTGGGTTGTGCAGCTGTAAAACTACCCACCTGCAGGGTGGTGAGCGGTGGTTAATCAGACGAGATTTAAAATCCCGTCTGATTAACCACATTCAGGATCTAGTAAAACATACAAGCTAAGTTTAACTGTAGCAGAACTAATTTCAGATATGAATTTAGTTATTTTTATATACATTTTTACTCTATTTTTTTGATCTGGCTTCATTTTATATTTATGTGGTTAGGTTTTGTAATGCCCTTGAGTCTTTTTTTACCGTGTTACTTAGTCTAAGAATTCTTGTCAGTACATCTGCTGTGAGTAAAAAGTAATTTGGTCAGCGCCTGCTTTTTTTTTTTTTTAAATAAATATTTTACTTGGTTTTAGTCTTTTTTCTTCCCCGTCATGCTTCTAAATATATTGCACAGCATGTCTGAAATCTTAATGAGCTGCGGGTGCGCTTCAGGAAAACAATTTTTAAGAGTAACCGATTGGAATTCCTGCATATTGTATTTATTAAATCATATTTCACTCTAGTTTCTGTGTCTTGTTCTGAGATCATTTTGCAGAGAAAGTGGCTCACTGATACTTTCAGTCCCTTTGTGTAAACATGTGAAAGTGTCCTTAGAAGCACTGCTGCCATTAAAGCCAGAGGTTGGATAGACCAAATACGCATTTGACTGATTTTCCCTTTTTACTGCATTTTTTATGAGGACAAAATAGAAACTCTTTGTGACATTATATTTTTGAAGCACACTTCTTCTCAGCTCTGTAAGCCTGCACAGTTTGGAGGGAATTCACCTCTTCACCTGCATGGACACACACACACACACACACACACACACACACACCCTGTAGATATGGTGAAGCTGAAGAATGTGTCCAGACATGCATACTAACTCCTTTCTCTCACTCTCTGGCAGGTTGTGTCTGTGTCTGGGCAGGGATTCAAACCGACCACCCTGTGGGGAGCTGGCAGGCTGGTCAGCTGGCTGCTTCCGATGCCTGGCTCAACAGACACTGGTTCAACTTCCTGAGGCGGAGCTAGAGTCACAGCGGGGACCGCTGCA